GGAAATAGCCATCCTCGATTCCTCTGCTAGTCACCAAGGTGATAACATAATGAATATCCGGCAGTATCGAAGCATGAGCATAGGAGCCCACCTGGCAACAGATGACGAGGAATTTCGCCCTGTATAGCAACGGCAAATCACAAGTATCATTATAACAACTGACATCGGTTGCAAAACAGGGGCTATCCTGCAGCAGAGGCTTAGTGGATAACACCTCGGCGTTAGAAGTGAAGGATTCTGGATTTGAACCTCAAAGGGAACAACACCACTCACTAGGGTACAGGTACACCCAGCTGATGAGTCCGAAATACGACGAAACGCGTATCCTCGATTCCTCTGTCAGTCATCAAGATTAATATAACATCATGAATATCCGGCAGTATCGAAGCATCCGCATAGGAGCGCACCTGGCAACAGAGGTCGAGGAATTTCGCCCTGTATGGCAACGGGAAACTACAAATAACATAACAACTATACCTTCTTCATTTGTCTGTATAATTTTAGACATTTTATTGCCTTTTATCTGTTCCGTCTTCGCTTATTATCTCCTTAGATTACTTTAAGATCAATATATTTCTACTTGCTTTCTATTTCTATGATGTTGTTAAGTTGAAGACTTGAACTGATGCCGCTCTTCTGTATAATATTCTGCAATAACTATGATTTTGCAGATAGATAGACAGACAGACAGAAAAATCAACGCGTAGAACCTCGTACACAAATGCTTCGTTGCCAGTTACCACAGATCATAGTTGGATACAAAAAAATAGGTGGATAGAAAAAGGAGTGATATCAAAGTAGACAAAGTAGTGTGAGAGAATAAATAAATGGAAGATAACAGTTAGTGCGAGTATTCAAGTATATTGCTACGCCATTGTGACCGATTTTTAAGCAAATCATCAAGAGTTTGAATTAACCACTGATTACTGTTGTCTCGGTGATCCCAATAAGATGGTCTACATCTCCCCATATGGGTCAGATCAATAGTTAAGGACTTCATCGACTGGTGGTACATCGTCACACAATGTAGGCCGAAGTAGGTTCAGTTTGGAAAAAGGCTCGAGGTGGCCAGACTAAAACATGGCACCAACGTATGAAGTCTCTCACTGTTGGTTTGAGCCATTTGGGGCGATGCATACTGGGTGGCTGGGGTCCCCGGGACAAGATGAACCAGTGGCTGGAGACTCTAGGGGATATGGCTCAGAACCGATGTCAGTGGTGCAGATGTATCCCCACACACATCCCCATCTTAACGGTGCTTTACCGAATCTCACCATTTCGTCATTCCTCTTTTCTTTCTTCTTGTACTTTATATTTCTTTGACTAGATTCTCTTATATTCATCTTGTGTCTCACTACCTTTCTACTTCATGTACTGATATGAGGTGTGGCAAGTTGGACCGTTACGCATTAATACCTGGTCCTATGTTGATATTAATGATGATAATTTACTACTCTAAACAGGGGATTTGACTTGAATAGGATAAATATTCTTTCGTCTGTGTTATTTGCTTAGAAATATCTAGATTTAATGTTTTACAGTATAATTGGTCATAAACCACTCTCATGACTAGCATATCCCAAATGCGTATTATCTTAAAGTTTGGTGTTTAGTTCTTGGATTTGATGTCCAAAGAAAATGCTTCACTATGTGATATACAACTTTCTGAAAAACATTATGTACACGTTTAAAGTGATTTAGAAATACTCTACAGTACTTGTATTGATTAGTCATGGGAGTGCAACCAATTTCATGTTGTCTAGCTCTGAGTGCAGATCGAAGTCTATCGATCATATTTGCAATGTGGCAATCAAGACAAGGAATAGCTCAGCATCGTGGTGCACATTAGTAGATGTTAGTTGGCTGGAGGCAATCGGCAGGAAGCCCTGCCTAATCTAGGTTGCGTGCTTTTGCCACTCGTCAGCAAGGCGTATATCTGCGACCTCGACGGAACTGATGTCACGCCTGAGATCCGAACTCACGTCACCCAGTGTTGTAGTCAGCGACTTTACCACATTGCAAATATGATCGATAGAATTCGGTCTGCACTCAGAACTAGACAACATGAAATTAGTTGAGCTCCTATGACCAATCAATACATGTAAACCAGTCCTATAGGAGGTGAATAGCGGCCCGAATAGCTAAGTGATAAAGTCACTGACTACAACACTGGGTTCGAATCTCAGGCGCGACATCAGTTCCGTCGAGGTTGCAGATACGCCTTGCTGACGAGTGCCAAAAAGCAAGAAACCTAGATTAGGCAGGGCTTCCTGCCGATTGCCTCCAACCAACTAACACACTACAGTACTGTATAGCATAATGGATACAATATCCTCCCATCTCATGACATCACTATCAGTTGTGAAACAATGCAACTGAATTAACAGTAACACGTTTATCTATGGGATGACTTTAATAGGATCAAGTGAATATTCAAAATGATTCAAGATGATGATGATGATGATGATGGTGAGCTTCAATTTGTAATGCACTGATAAAGCAAAATAGTATTATGATATATCCAACGGGTTAATGATAATGGCCACTAACACCTACAGTTGAACAGAGTACGATAACTACATGTCTAAAAGAAACGAATAAGTAAAAGTGAATTATCTCTTAGTACATGAACTACACAATGAATTGTATTTATTGTCTGAAAGCTATTGAAAAGATCTAACTACCAAAACCTTATTAGAGTGGACAAGGGTTTCAACCTATGACCTACTTAATTGGAAATTATTACAGAATGAGATAATTATCTCCTAGATTTCTTTAAGAAGCCTAGAATTTCCAGAAATGTTTACAAAAACTAATCATGATATAACAAAAAGTATTAGTGAAAAATCAGGTGATCAAATTGGTTAAAGGGAATCAAGCGATTATCAAAGGTGAAGACTAAAGTTATTGTTCGAGTACATCTATCTATCTATCTATCTATCTATCTATCTATCTATCTATCTATCTATCTATCTATCTATCTATCTATCTATCTATCTATCTATCTATCTATCTATCTATCTATCTATCTATCTATCTATCTATCTATCTATCTATCTATCTATCTATCTATCTATCTATCTATCTATCTATCTATCTATCTATCTATCTATCTATCTATCTATCTATCTATCTATCTATCTATCTATCTATCTATCTATCTATCTATCTATCTATCTATCTATCTATCTATCTATCTATCTATCTATCTATCTATCTATCTATCTATCTATCTATCTATCTATCTATCTATCTATCTATCTATCTATCTATCTATCTATCTATCTATCTATCTATCTATCTATCTATCTATCTATCTATCTATCTATCTATCTATCTATCTATCTATCTATCTATCTATCTATCTATCTATCTATCTATCTATCTATCTATCTATCTATCTATCTATCTATCTATCTATCTATCTATCTATCTATCTATCTATCTATCTATCTATCTATCTATCTATCTATCTATCTATCTATCTATCTATCTATCTATCTATCTATCTATCTATCTATCTATCTATCTATCTATCTATCTATCTATCTATCTATCTATCTATCTATCTATCTATCTATCTATCTATCTATCTATCTATCTATCTATCTATCTATCTATCTATCTATCTATCTATCTATCTATCTATCTATCTATCTATCTATCTATCTATCTATCTATCTATCTATCTATCTATCTATCTATCTATCTATCTATCTATCTATCTATCTATCTATCTATCTATCTATCTATCTATCTATCTATCTATCTATCTATCTATCTATCTATCTATCTATCTATCTATCTATCTATCTATCTATCTATCTATCTATCTATCTATCTATCTATCTATCTATCTATCTATCTATCTATCTATCTATCTATCTATCTATCTATCTATCTATCTATCTATCTATCTATCTATCTATCTATCTATCTATCTATCTATCTATCTATCTATCTATCTATCTATCTATCTATCTATCTATCTATCTATCTATCTATCTATCTATCTATCTATCTATCTATCTATCTATCTATCTATCTATCTATCTATCTATCTATCTATCTATCTATCTATCTATCTATCTATCTATCTATCTATTCATCTATTCGCTGATTGTATGTTTGAAATGATCACATTCACAGGTGAAAACTAACAAGTTGACTGAAGAGGCAGGGAAGTGAAGGAAGACGAGACTTCCTTCGGGTGAACGTAGAGAAGACAGAGGTAGACGTGGTGAAGATACCCAATCAACAACAAGCAACAATCACCGTCAACGAGTGAAACCTAACGGAAGTAGTGTTTTTCACTTACCTAGGCAGTATCGCTTCAACTACATGCAGCGGCACAGATGGGGAGGTCAAAACCAGGATCGGAAAGACAGCAAGACAGGCCTTCCTTCACTAACCTGAAGTAATCAGTGTAGACATCTACTGCCCTGCACTGTACTCACCACAAAGCATGAACAACATCTGGATTTTCAACACTAATTCAGTCAGTGCTTGTATGTGATGGTTGAGAGACTTAGCGGCGCGTTACGAAAAGCATTTCCAACAAACTACACACATTCATCAACAGCTGCCTACGCTCGATAATGAAGATCGATAAGATGGATGGGCAGAATAATAAGGGTAAGCAAGAAGGATCTCTGGCCGGCTGGCTGGCAAAGAACCAACAACTGAGAACCCATAGCCCAACAAATATGCAGAGGAAGAAAGTGGAGATGAATTGCACATCGACTGTGAAGGTGGTTTGGGGAAATCACGTGTCAGGCAAGGCCGTCAAGTGGAAGCCAAAGGAAAAACAACCAATTCGGGATTCGAGGGTGGTATGGAGACCATGTGAGGAAGAAATGAAAGGTAATGGACAGTCGTGGATCCCGGTTGAAAAGACTGCAGAGAACACAGTGAAATATCGACGTGGTAGTGAAGACCTATGTTCCAGTAAGAATTCATGGGACCAATAATAATAATAATTTTTTTTTGAATTAACTCACCTCTGATTCCATGAATTGAATACGTTCTTCATATTCTGCTCGTTGTTTAGCACTGATAATAAGACCACCACTACCATCAGATCCATGGATTGTACCTGTTCCACTATTAAGTGAACCATTACTGGCTTTTCTTCTTCGACCTAGACTACCTGTAGAGAAGACAGATATAAATGGATTTAATGAAGCCGAGATAGATGTTGACGGGTTTGTATAAGTAGTGGTTTCATTCAATTTTGTAGATTCATTGGTTGAATGAGAAACTACTGAGGTAGATGTAGTAATAGTAGTAGTGCTAGCAGTGGTAGCAGGAGTTGTTGATGATAATGTACTGCTAACACCTGTCACAACGTTAGGCATATTAACAACAATAGAAGAACAGTTAGAATTCATTGTTTCCAAGGTTGAAGAATTGTCATTCAAGCGAAATTTTGTTGTTTCATCAAAAGATGAATGTGATGTAGTTGAAATTTTACGATTTTTATTGTTTACAGTAGTAGCCAGTAAACGAGACCGTAAATCTGTCAATTCTTGATCAAGTTCTAATAAACGTTTTTGATGTTCTTCAAGTTGTTCACGCTATAAATTGGCAAAAATAAAAGAAAAGAAGAGAAAAGCAACAGATTAGATTTGGGCCAATTTGTGAAGAGAAGAGTACCAAGACTGAATCTGAAGCTATGGTGGTGGTCTAAGCACTCAACTTTTAATCAGTAGGTCATAGATTCAAGACAGGAGTAAAACAAGGCTGTCGCCTACTATCACCCTTGTTCTTCCTAATTATGATCGACTGGATCATGCAGAAAACTGTGAGGAGCGAGGAGAGGGGCATACGCTGACTGACCGGGGAGAAGATCCTAGAAGATTTCAATTTCGCCGATGACTTGTGTCTAAGGTCACACAAACTCGAAGATCTACAAGTGAAAACTAACAAGTTGACAGAAGAGGCAGGGAAGTCGAGGAAGACGGAATTTCCTTCAGGTGAACGTAGAGAAGACGGAGGTTGACGTGGTGAAGATACCCAACCAACAACACCATCAACAACAAGCAACAATCAACATGAACTGGAAAAACTTAAAGGAAGTAGCCTCTTTCACCTACCCACCTACCTAGGCAGCATCGTTTCAACTACAACTGGCACAGGCACAGGCACAGATGAGGATATCAAAGTCAAGATCGGAAAGACAGCAAGACAGGCTTTCCTTCATTAGTCTGAAGTAATCAGTGTGCAGATCTACTGCACTACACTCCGCTCCACTGCACTGCACTGAACTCAGCATAAAGAGTGAACAACATGTGGATTTTCAACACTAATTCAGTGAAGTCAGTTAGTGCTTGCATGTGATGATTGAGAGACTTGGTGACACGTTACGAAAACCATTTCCAACAAACTGCACACATTCGTCAACAAGTACCTACGCTCGATATTGAAGGTTAGATGGCTAGAAAGAATAAGCAACATGGAACTCTGGGAACGAACCAACCAAGAACCAATCGCCTAACAAATGTACAGAGCAAGAAGGTGGAGATGGATTGGATTGGGTGAACACTGAGAAGACCATTTCGGAACATCACATGTCAGGCCATCGAGTGGAATCCAAATGGGAAACGACGAGTTGGGCGTTGAAGGTGAGGGTGACATGAAGGAGATGGTGTGAGGAAGAAATGAAGGCTTGTAGGCAGTCGTGGAGCCAGGTTGAAAAGACTGCGGAGAAGAGAGTGAAATGGTGATATGCTACTGAAACCCTATGTTACACTAGGAACCCAAGGGACAAATAATAATTATAAAAGATCCACACAGCATTCCATCTGTCGAGGTCTAAACAGTCAGTCAGGTAGTATCATTCGCCTAACCAGACAATCTGTATAGTTGACTGTCTAATGCACAAACGTGTAATGAGTTGCTCATTGGGATTTTAACTTTCAATCAAAAGTGTATGAAGTCACAAAATTTATTGAATTCAATATGACAGAAATATGAGGGATCAGTATCAGTGAATCAATATACTAAACTGATTATAAACGCTTAAATGAAATCAGCTGTCACTTGAGAGCAAAACTGGTTGGTGATTTACTCAAATTTATCTGCAATAAATATGAAACCAATTTTCACATCAGCATGAAAAGAAGACTTGAAGAGATAACGGATGGCATAAGACTATAGAAAAGTGTATGAGTGAGAGGAAAGAACTTCAAAACAGGACAGAGTATATATATAAGCTATCCTGATCACTTTTGAACGATGTCACCAAGACTTTCTAACCATTGATTCCTATCACCACGAGAACTCCAGTTAGACAGCCTGTAAACAAACCTACACGATTCAGAGTACAGGAGTCGGAAAATTCAGGGATTATTGATATACATTGGTACAACAACTAATAGCCTCTTTCCAACCTAGACATAATTCGAATGGAATCGAACATCCAGGTAGGCACTGATATGATATTATTATTATTATTAGTCCCTTGGGTTCCTAGTGGAACATAGGGCTTCAGTAGCACGTCTCCAGTGACCTCTGTTCTCTGAGATCTTTTCAACCTGCTTCCACGACAGCCCACAACCTCTCATTTCCTTCTCACACGATCTGCTCCATGTCACCCTCGCCTCGGACGCCCAACTCGTCGCTTCCCATGGGGATTCCACTCGAGCAACTGGCCTGACGCGTGATGTCCCCAGTCAGCCTTCTCAGGGTATGCCCAATCCATCTCCACTTCTTTCTAGTGCATATTTGTTGGGTGATGGGTTCTTGGTTGGTTCGTTCCCAGAGCTCCTTGTTGCTTATTCTTTCTAGCCATCTCATCTGATCTTCAGTAGCGAGCCAGCGTAAGCAGTTGTTGATGAATGTCTGTAGTTTATTGCAAATCCCTTTCGTAACGCGCCAAGTCTCTGAGCCATACAGAAGCACTGACTTCACGTTGGTGTTAAAAATCCGAATCTTGTTCCACATGCTGAGTGCAGAAGATCTCCACACTGGTTTCAGGCTAATGAACACCTGTCTTGCTTTTCCGATCCTGGCTGACTTTGACATCCTCGTCTGTGCCTGTGTCGCCTGTAGTTGAAATAGTGCTTCCTAGATAAGTGAAGGAGGTTACTTCCTTTAAGTTTCTCCCATTGATGGTGACTGGAGTTTGTTGTTGTTGTTGCTGTTGGTGCGGTATCTTCATCACCTCTGTCTTCTGTATATTCACTTGAAGTCCCGTCTTCGCTGCCTCTTCTGTCAACTTGTTAGTTTTCGCCTGTAGATCTTCAAGTTTGTGTGATATCAGGCACAATTCATCGTTGGCGAAATCTAAGTCTTCTAGGTTCTTTTCCGCAGTCCAGCGTATCCCCCTCATTGATATGATATACGCACAATTAATTCAAGCCTAGCACTTTATGTATAATTCCAAAACTGATTCATGAACACAATTTTAATTCCGAGGTAGTGTTCATCATGGACTGAAATCCGTTGCAGAGCCATTGAAAATCTGGGAGCACTGAATAAGTGTTTCGCCCCCGTATGGGACTCCTCTGCAGTACGCACCCGAAACCCCACCAGGGATCAAACTCATGACTTTCAGGCTTCACGGCGAACGCGCTAACCATTCATCCATTGAGTCAGATCTCAATGCTTCACAGTTTTCAACTTCTGTCAATTAGTAATGCAGCGCGACTATCACTCACGGTCTTCAGTTGGCATCCGGTTCCCTTCCGACTGGTTGACCCCACAAGTCAAATTCTCATTAGAATTTCCTGATATTCATCTGGAAGGATGTCATTAATGAAGACTATGCAGTAAAGCATTTTGAGGTTAGTGCGGATTTTATTTTTTAGGTAGTATCCATCACAGAAGGTGAAAACTGTGAACCACTAAATTCTGTCAGTGACTGAATGGTTAACACGTTCGTTGTGAAACCTAAATGTCGTGCGTGCGTGCTACTGATGAGCTTTATACTAGGACGAAACGGCTGTCCAATGCTCCCAGATTTTCAATGGTCCTCCAACTGATGTCAGTTTGTGATAAATACTACCTCAGAATTATGGTATTGACAGTTTGACTACCTGAGATAGCCGTAGTTTGGCAAACCTGTATGATTGATACTAGTTGATAATTGAAGATGAAATGAAAATCTAGGCTATGGGAGGATTCGAACCACGAACTTTCGGGTTATCTACCTACCGCTCTGCCAACTGATGCACGAGATCAAACTGCGGATCAGATTCTACTTTCATTTTAATCAACCAGCAGATTCGGGTGATAAGAAGTCTTGACTGGGTAATCGCAAGTATAAGTATGATTAGGCGATAGTAATTCATCAGGAATTCACACAACAGTCGGGTCTCGTAGCTCATTTGGCAGAGTATCAAATCAGTAAACCACAGGTTGCTGGTTCAAACCCTGCTATGACTCATATTTTCATTTCACCATCAATCATCACCCAGTATCAATTATCATATTGGTTTTAAGGTAGGTTGAGAAAAATGTAAAGGTTAATAATTGGAGGTCGGGGGGGGGGGGGAGGATGCATTAATTTTTTTCATCATGTTAACTCCTCCTTTGCTCTAATCGTTTATATGAAGGCAATAACAATTATGATAAATGCAAATGAGTAGATAAATAATCAATAATACTACTTAATAAATCATCCTCTCTTCTAAAAGCTGTTTGTATATGAAACTATGACCCAAGTGTACTGTATACAATGAAAGTTTATGATATTAATGAGTATGAACCTATATAAGCATTGTTTATAGTGTAAGTGAATTTCTATGCATACCATAAAGAATAATCGATCAACTTAAAAGAAGCAACAAAAAGAAAATGCATACACGGTAGGATTTAATGAATTCATGCATTTCGATAGGACTCTTCAGTTGAATACTGGTAATAAAAGATGAAATCCACTTAGCATAAAGAACAAGATCCGGATTTTCAACACTAATTCAGTCAAGTCAATGCTTCTATATGGTTAAGAGATTTGGCGTGTTACGAAAAGCATTTTCAACAAACTACAGATATTCATCAACAACTGCTCGCGTTGGCTGGTTACCTAAGCTCAGATAGCCAGAATAATAAGAATAAGCAACAAAGAACTCTGGCAACGAACCAACCAACTAAGAACCTATTGCCCAAAAAATATGCACAGGAAGAAAGTGGAGATGGATTTGGCATACATTGAGAAGGCCGACTGGGGACATCATGCATCAGGCGAGGCCATGGAGTGGCACCCAAATGGGAAGCGACGAGTTGGGCGTCCGAGGCGAGGGTGACATGGAGGAGATGGTGCGAAGAGGAAATGAGAGCTTGTGGGCAGTCATTGATCCAGGTTCAAAAGATCTCAGAGAACAGAGTGCACTGGAGATGTGCTACTGAAGTCCTATGTTCCATTAGGAACCCAAGGGATGAATAATAATAATAATAATATAGCATTATCAAGTATGTATGGAAAAATTGGTATATGTGCTCTAAAACTGATTGAAAAATTACAAGAAATAGAGTTTGATTACGTCATTGTTAGTAAATAGTCCATAAGCTCTCCCCCCCCCATTGCTTACTGTGACTACTGTTCCTTAGGGTGCCGTCATTTCCCTGTGTCTTT